GTGAGGATTAAGCGGTGTATAGATAATAAATGGATGGATGGACTTCTACCCTAAAAAAACAAACCAGCAAGACAAGTTATCTTTATGGTGATAACTTCTTTAAGCGGTGCCATGTAATAAACCAAAGCACCAGCAGGGGCCAGCAGAGGTAGAGGAAACTCTATGAACAGAACTGATTATAAACATCAATAAAAGACAGAGTTTCAGGTAATACAGTCGTCCTCAAATGTATTCATACTCTCCCATTAAAGAAGGAAAAAAAACAGCTGTCACTGAAATAAGCAGAAACTGACAAAAGCAATAATAAATAAAAATTGAATGAAAATCATGACATTGCTTTTGAATTGTGGTTCAACAGAAATATATGGAAGATGTCCAGAAATATAAATATATATATCTTCCGAGATAGAGTTTTGTGCGTGTGCGAGTTCGTTTAGTACCTCAAAAACGCGTTTCATTGATATGAATAATTTTTTTTTTAAAAACACCCTAGCAATTCCAATAGGGTCTTCGCACCCTTTTGGGTGCTCGGACCATAATTAAAAAAATGAACCATACAATTCATCTATTGTTTGGTTTATCAACAACCAATGAACAGCAACTGGTCCTGTTAGCTGGGGACTGACTGCCCATCTCTCTCTCTATCATGCTATTCTCAGAGGAGTGGGGTGGATTGTGGGTGTGTATGGAGACACTGACCTAGATTCATTGTAAAGGGTGATCAGGGGAGGCCGTGCGTGTGTGCATGTGCTCTGGCATGGCGAGAGCACTATTTAAAGGAACAGGGATTTCGAGGCAGTGGCAATATTACAAACTATTGACTGGACGGCACATGATTACTATAAAGAGGGTTAAGTGGTTTTAATGACTGGATTTCTTCAATTATTCTTGCAACATTCTGTGGCTATGAAACTATTTATTTGTGCCAATGTCACAACCCCAGTTATAACATACTTGTACACCCAAATTGCATATCTCTGCATACTTGTCTATACTTAATGTCTGGTTAATTCCATTTAATCTAGCAAACCCATGCTGTCAAACCACTATGGCACAATGTCCCTTGACACTATTACTATGCACATGTTTTGACATTATTTTAATTCATATACACGAGTTACCAGCTCTTAATTTATACTTTTGTATTGGGGCTGATAATGTGTCATATTCAGCCTTATTTTTTAAACTGACTGTTGACCATTTTTACATGGTGTACATCATATAAACTAGTGTATGAGGTAATAACGGGGTATTACAACACGAGCAAACGGTGAGACCACCAATTTGCCTCGACACATCAATAAAGCAGCATCTTTCACGTTATTGGTGGACACGAAGTCATGTAATGTCACGTGGTTGAATTAGAGCTTTGGGCAGCATGGTGAGCCAATGGCCTGCCCCATCACCTGACCGCTATTTGAATATTGATGCTCCCTGTGCCGCCACATTGGTGCGCCTCCCCGTGTTGTTGTTGTCTGTCTGACATTGTGCGAAACGTCGCCACCGACATTTGTGGAAGATGTCCTCGCTGCTGAAGCCGTTCTCGGTGTGTGAGGGGCCCTGCGAGAGCTGCGGATCCCGGAGAGGATGCCCGAGTTCGGCTCCCCATCACCAGCCTCCATCGCAGCGTCTGTCCGCCGCTGCAGCCGCGGCGGGGCTGGGCTCTCTGCCGGCGCACCAGCGCTCGTACTCAGCGCGGAGGAACCTGGCAGCTGCAGCGATCCGAGGGAGGAAAATCACGCATCCTGGAAAGGCCATCCTTGCAGGTTGATTTTGTAGCGCACCGTAGATACCATACCACCATAGATTCTCGCCTCATTGTCGCTCATCGCTACACACACACACACACACAGCACAGCTTTAATCTCAATCTGTCGCCCATTAAGGCTATCCATGCAGAACTGGGTCAGTCAGCCAGCAGTGACGCTCCAGCAGAATGCAGGATGTAGCTACATTGAGCCTTTTCTGTGCTTATTCATTACTACACTCTCATTCAAATCCTCCAAATATACACGAAGATGCTGAAAGCTCTTTGCTGCATCATCATCATCACCACAAATCTACATTTTTTTTTTTTTTTTAAATGACAACAATGGCAAGTTCCAGTTCTGCACAATGAGTCAACAAATCCTGACAGCAGCATCTCCTCTCCTCTTTCCCCCCTCACCCAGGTGGTATTGCAGGAGGAATAGAGATCTGTATCACCTTCCCCACAGAGTACGTGAAGACCCAGCTTCAGCTGGATGAGAGAGCGAACCCACCGCGCTACAGAGGGATCGGTAGGTCACTGGGACATGCATGACAGGGTGGGAGGTGATTGTAGGTTTGTGTGCTAGTCTTCCGCTGGTTTGCTCACCTCTAGATGTTCGCTGTAGGTGACTGTGTGAAGCTGACAGTGCAGGATCACGGGCTCAGAGGGCTGTATCGAGGTCTCAGCTCCCTGCTCTATGGATCAATACCCAAATCTGCAGTCAGGTGAAGATGCACACATTACATTGATACACACAGATTAAATGTAATGCAACAGGAAAGCGTTTGCACATTACAGCATCACAGATCTGCAGTGTTGACTTGTAATTGGTAAAAACAGCTGACTGATGTTGAGTATGTTAATGTAATGTCAGTGTAAGATTGGATTAGATTAGACTAGATAGAACTTTATTGATCCCTTTGGTAGGGTACCTCAGGGAAATTGTTGTACTAGCAATAACAGAACACCAACATAACATTAGTAATAATAATAATAATAATAATAATAATAAGATAACTCCAACCTAGTGTCTGAGGCTGCAAAATATAATAATTTCAAATTGTAAAGTATTCTAAAACAAAAGCAGCAAATTCTCACGTTTAAGAAACTTTGAATGGTTTATTACGACCCCTTCAACTCTTGAATTTATCCACCTTTCTTACAGGTTTGGCACGTTTGAGATGCTCAGCAACCCGATGCGAGACGCCACAGGTCGGCTAGACAACACGCGGAGCCTCGTGTGTGGTTTGGGAGCGGGGATAGCAGAGGCCATTTTGGTTGTCTGCCCCATGGAGACGCTCAAGGTTGGTGGAGACGGATGCTGTATCACATTTGTCCTTTTAAGTCTGTTGAATCAACATTGATCAGGAAAAAAGGGGCTTAACAAAATGGATCTACATGCATCCTGCAGGTGAAGATGATCCACGACCAGTGTTCCCTCCGACCTCGCTACAGAGGCTTCTTTCACGGAGTCTGTGAGATTGTCAGAGAACAGGGTAAGAGACGGGGATGGAAAGACTTTTGTTACATTTTTTGTTGTCAAGCAAGGGTTTTAAACCCTGTCTATAGTCTAACTATCTATGTGCATGTGTGTTGTTCCTTAAATAATCGACTGTTTACCTTGTTTAGGTGTGAGAGGGACATATCAAGGTCTGACAGCGACTGTACTGAAACAAGGAACCAACCAGGCCATTAGATTTTATGTGATGAATGCGCTTCGCAATTGGTACAAAGGTGAGAAAAGCTACCAAACAACAAAATAAATTTGTTGACCTTTTTCTGTCCTGATGATTAATGGGTTTTCCTCCTATTTCTTTCTTCATTTTTTTTTCGTGAAACCATCCGATGCGGTCTCTAAGGCGACGACCCCAGACAAGAAATGCACCCAATCGTCACGGCGATGTTCGGAGCAACAGCAGGAGCAGCCAGTGTTTTTGGAAACACACCTCTGGATGTTGTTAAGACCAGGATGCAGGTAGGAACCGCACCCTCTGATGATTTTACTGCTGTCGCCTGGGTTTGTCTTCTGTAAGACGCTAAAAGAAGGCTTTTTGTATAGGGTTTGGAGGCCCATCGCTACAAAAACACAGTGGATTGTGCCTTCAAGATTTTGAAGCATGAAGGACCACAAGCGTAAGTGACCCACATCCTGCTCCTGCTTTAGGGTTTCCTCTCTTGTAGACAAATCATCTAACGAGGGATAGACCTGTTACCGGCCTGGTCGATTATCGTGGTCGATATTTGGCATTTTCCAGATTATTGGTGTCAGTATTTTTTATTGATGAGTTAAATGCGCTACTTCAGGTCTGACTCAGCCGCCTCACTCTGTCTGTTGTCAGTCTGTGGTCTCAGAAATGTCGAGCAGAGAGCAAAAACTGAGCAAGCAACACAAGTCGTCCCCACAAACCAGAAAAACAGCTACACTTACAGTGACTAAGGCTTCACTGGTGGCTAAGTTAGAAGGCAGCCACAAAATACCCTGAAACAGAGTCTGGAAAACAGTAATAATAACTCAAGATGAAAAAAAAAAAAAGTAGAACAGCGAACAAGGAAGAAAATAGAGAATAGCAGACGTAACTGCAGTAGACAAACTAGTCAATCTCAGTCAATTCCACATAAACAGAGAAGAAAATCCTAATTTAATAAGTCCTGTTTCTGTTTTATATATTCAGTTATAGTCATCCTATTAATCAAAAGAAGCCTAGTTATTAATGATCTGTTTCCCTGCTATGACATGCTGTTAAAACATTACATTTATGTGCATCGGTTCCAAATATAGGGCTTTCTTGATCACGAATAATTGGCACCAGTATCGGCTCCACAAAAAAAAACCAACAACCCCGTATCAGTCGATCCCTACATCTGACCCATCTCATTCTGTTCTTCCTGCAGGTTCTACAAAGGAACAGTTCCCAGGCTCGGTCGCGTGTGCATGGACGTGGCCATAGTCTTTGTCCTCTACGAGGAGGTGGTAAAACTCCTCAACAATGTGTGGAAGACCCAGTAGACCGTCCTGACGGTGACAGAGGTCCAGGGGGAAGCACAGACCAGTGCCTCATGCTACGCACAACCGAACACCTCTATTCTAGTTCATACTGGCTCTGCATTGCTCTGAGCAGAGGACACGTCTCCATATTGACCAGTGTCCACACAGTTGCATAAAAAATTGGATTTGCCGGACTTACTCCAAACACAGCAATTAAAAAAAAAAAAAGAAAAAAAAAGAAAGAAAGAAAGAAAGTGACAGCTGCTAGTTAAAAAAAAAAAAAAAGCTCTATCATTTCTCGTCTTCCACTTTAGTGGTCGGATTTGGAGGGGAAAGAGGGCTTTTTTTTTTCTAGAAAGATAAGGAAACACAAAGTCAAATGAAATGTTGTGTTACTCTGCACCTGACCAAACTTGAAGGCTCAGTCCCCTGAGCTTCATTTCAAGAAACATTTAGATATTCAGATTAGAAAGGGAACAATAGGTTGGAAAAAAAGGGATATTACGTATGTTTTAGCTTTCTATGACTGTTGTTACCGTACATGTTGTAGAGTGAACACTTTGTACCAAAACCATAAATGTGTCTTTTGATTCACTTGAGTACTTACTATAGTGAGCAAAAAACAAGAAATCAGATTAGACGCATACAAGCTTTTTGCAGTACTTTAAAATGTCTGTGCAGTACTTCAACACGTCTTAGTGTTGTAATTGCTTACCTGGCTGTGCTTGTGGTATCATCACACTAAAACATTCACAGTATTTCCTTTTGCTGTGTCTTGGTGATGAACTGTAGATGCTGTTCATTGTGCATTTTATGGCCGCCGCTGACAACCGTGTATTGCTGCATGAATGTTGACGTGGCATCCGACGGTTTCTCGCGGCTTCGCCGAGGTGACGCAAACTGGTCCCGAGTCCTCTGCAGGAGATTGTTAATCTGATACACATACTGTCAGAAACAAATCCATATGTAGCACAATTTTCACATACAGTCTTAATATAGTGGGAGATCTGACTCAAGTTTATTAATGGAAGTTTGTGGTATGTTGCTATTCTGGGAAATCATACAAGTAACAGAGGTATTCAGTGGGTGGTTGCTGCTGCAAGTGACGGCTTCATTTGTGGAAACATGACCAGTACTGCATCCTTTAGTCCTTCAGTATGGCTGACACTTACCATTTTCAACCAGGTGTTGGTGTGCAGCCCACGAAATAAAAGTGAATTCACTTCTACTCCGTTAGAAATAACAACATGGAAAGAAGTCCCTGTGTGTAAGCCATATTACGTTAATACCCTTGGTTTTTCTTCTGTTTACTGGTTCAGTCATCAAACAGACTGTCCTGTAATAAGATATGTCACTTTATTATTCTTTGTTTACCTCAAGCTAACCTGCTTCATGAGCTTTTTTGTAGCTGATAACACATCATTTGCTCTTCTAATTACGTTCATATACAGTACTGTAGGTTTTAGGCACTAAAAGCAAGGATGTTTACAGTATAAGGGGGTGAACGCCAGTAATCCGTTGCAGGACTTTTGTTCTTTTGTGTAACGCATAAGAATCAACTAATAGAGTGCCTAAAACTTTTCACAGTACTGTATATTAAACTACAGCTAGATATTTCAGAGCCTCAACATCATGACAGGTGACTAGTCTTGAAGAAAGGCTTTAACCTTTGACTGACCTAGTGGCACCACACAGCCTTGCACAGAAGCCTTTCAGTCCTCTATGCCAAACTACTTTAGTATAACCTCTAATGTAATATCCCTGATAGCAGGAAATCTTTATTAGCTACACTTTTAAACCAAGAGCAACGCAATATTGTTTAATCATTTTGTTTTAACGAAGCACATTTTTACTGACTGATTCTTTGTGTGTTTATGCTTTGCTGCTTTTCATAAAACAGGCCAACAGCAATGTGTGTCTCCTATCAGACTTTTTTTTTGTGTGATCATTCACATTACAGAGGATCCTGTTGGGCAGATCGAAGGTAACTTTTGTGTTGTTGAAAAACCAAAATGTGTCCGTATGACATCAGAGAAAATATTGTTGAAAAACATCAGCTCTACGAGTACGATTTACATGATCAAATACTAATAAACTTGTGATAATTAAACCTCATTGTGTCATTCTCTGCTGAGACATCAGATTTATAGAAATAAACTGGTGGGAAAAAAATTTCTTTGTGCCAAGCAGGGAGTGCATTTCATTTCCTGCATTAGGGAACTCAATGGCAATATATTCCAACATTTTCATTGTGGCTGCATCTGACAGCTTACTGTATTTTAGCTGTAGAGTGGATGGATTTGAGCAAACTGTAGCTCCAGCAAGCATCCAGTCGCACACAAAGGACTGCTTTTTAACATGACCTCAATGGACAAAGTGTCTCGAAACAGTCTTACATGTGGCACGTGCAAATGGAAACAAAAGTATTGCTCTCAATCATGTATTAAAAAAAAGTTCAAATTTAAAAATATTTATTTGTACAGTGACAAAACAGCAAAAATTGCTGTAACATATTTTAGGTTTTGACTTTTTGACACAAACATGTTGGTTAGAGGTGGAGTAAATACAGAGCAATAACTCAAGAGTTCTAAAAACTTCTGGTTAAAGTAATTTTTTTCTTTTTTTTACCTGCTGGCCTCCAACATTTTTAGAGCACACCACCACTTAAACCATGAATTATCCCTTAATTTAAAGCTGACTAATACGATAGTGGTCAAGTGTGGCATCTGCAATAATGAATGGGCTTTTTCACAATGGGATGTGGCTAAGTAGCGGTGACACTTGGCGTCACTACAGACGCAGAAAAATCAGCAGGTTGAGGCTTTGCTGATCGCAGGACAGAAGAGATTAAAGGCTGAAGGAGTGGGACGAGCACCGTCGGCATTAACATCACAGAGGAAGGTATTAGCACTCCCACCTGTTGCCTTACTGGTCCACCTGTCACCTACAGTATATAGTTCATCTAATAGGCTCAAGGTGAACAAAGGGACGAAGATGATGCAGAGATTTTCTTAATGCTCTGGCTGAGTCAGATCTGTCAATTCATGATTAAATAAATGCCTCTCCTTTGATTTCTTTCAATTCATTGCAGAGCAGACACCTATAAACACTGCTTAGGTTCCATTTAGATAAAATACATAACCTTGTTAGTCTTTTGTGCCTATACGCATTGCAACACAAGCACGTCACAGCCCCTGGTATACATGTAAGGCCATCCGTTTCAGTGAGATAACAATACTGAAATACATATTATAGTACAACCTCTACCTGCAATAATCTCAATGGATGGATGTTTCCCATTTTAAATGTCCCATTCAGCTGAACAGTTTCACATATTGTTAATATTCCCACATGGGAATAAAAGCAAGAGAGGGAAGTTGCATCATGACTCGACTTCCTCGAGCACAATGCTATTGTTGACAGACAAATGGGTGAGCAGATGCAGTCTAGTCACCCTTTGCTCCAGCTGTCAGGCTTCTTGAGAGCAGAAGGTGTCAAATCCTCCACCAACGTCAGGACAGACAGCTGACATGTGACTATCTTCTCCATCTGGAAATATAGACACACAAGGTTTAGGTGTGAGGAAACACTGGTGTTTAACCATTCTGAAAAGTTAGATGATGGCTCTCTGGCCTCACTCTCACATTCTGAGACATTTGTCTTTGCCGCCACTGGCCACTCTCTGTCCATCAGGACTCCAGTCCACAGCATAAACCTACACAGATAAGAAACAAGGCGATTCAGGAAAAACAACACCCGCTATCAAGAAAGTATGAGTTCAATGACACCATTCCTTCCTGCACCTCATCAGCATGGCCAGGTAGGTCCATGTTGAGCTTCCCAGTCTTAACGTCCCACACTTTTAGAGTGCTGTCACTGCTGCCACTGACAAGGAGTCTGCTATCTGCTGACCATGCCACTTGATACACAGACCCCACATGGCCACGCAGGGACATCAAGTACCTGTACGCAAGCACACAAGCAAGTCAAGACATTATTACACAGTGAAGCTACACATCTTAGGCTCACAGCACCATCACCTGGACAAGAGCAGAATAACATGCAGATCCAGTTGTGAGCTTTTGTCAGGGTTATTCCACAAATCAGTGTCTCCAATCAGACTTCTCAGAATGAGCAGATTTTTGCAACAATAATGTTACTATATTTATTGTGGCCATGCAAAATTTTATGTTCATACTATGAATATTTATAGGCCAGCACTAAATTCTAAACTACAAGAAATTGCCACATAAAGTTCCCAGAAATAAATAAATAAATAAATAAAACACTTTACATCCACTCCAGATGATTCTGAAGTCAAAGTCTCATTTTTGTTCAGCAAAATGTTTTCTATAACCACCTTTAAGCATCAATATTATGGAATATATAATAGCTTCAATAGCAAAACTGCACCAATTTAATGTCTGTGACAGAGTAACTGAGACAAACATTCGTACCCTGGTTGTGTTGTCTGTTCTCTGATAACCCACAGGAGAAAACTGCATTTTTAGTCATATCACTATATGCAATATGTGGTTGGTCAAAACAAGTTATGCTATATGGTCTAGTTTTTAACCTATATTTATTCTATACTCCTGTATTTAAGGTTCATCTTCCAGTTATGACTCCCCCTCTGTCTCTAATATAACTTGTAAGTAATGAACTAACTACAAGTTATGAGGGTTAAAAAATGTTGGAAAAAGAAACGTCTATGTACTTTAAGGACCTGTAACTAGAAACAATATTCATACTGTGAATGTAGAAATGTTACAGGGCCAATGTAGCTGATTCTGAGGCAGTCAAGTGGAAACTTTTAAAGATTTATTTGACTTCATATGAAATGGTCCATAAGTTAGAAATAAGCTGTGTTACTGGGTTCCTCGCTAAATCCTCACAGATTTTCAAATCAGGTTGCATCACACACACACACACACACACACACACACACACACACACACAGCCAAGGAGAAATTGACAGATATTTGTCTCTCTAAACTTAGACACGTGCACACTACAAGATTTAAAATTAACCACACACAACATGATACTATTAAGATTATCATGGCAGAAGGAGCAATCAGAAAACAGTGTGCCAGCTCATGTGATCTCATGGGGAAGCAGATGTAAACAAAATGAAGACTGTGGAGCAACAGCTTGCTTTAATGCTAATAATACTTTGCAGTGACGAAAGAACACAAGAGCAGAAGGCCAAATGACTCTGGATGAGAAATTGTTTGGGAAGATACAGTCAACACAGATTGTCAATTCTTCAGCAAGACCTGGAGGGGAGGTTTTACTCTCAGTTTTAATATCTGTAGCTAATGTTGGCCTCAAAA